AAATCTGACCGCATGGGTCTGTATCCCACAGGAGGGGCAAGACGCTCACATCTGATTCGCTTTTGCTAGGTCTGTAACCCACAGGTGGGTGAAGAAGCTCACGTCCGATTCGCTTTCGCTGCTCTCATCCTTTACCTTCTGTACCCATGTGAAAAAACACAGAAGTGTTTGAATAGTCAAATTGCGCATTTCAGATGTATATAAAAGTAAAATTTTACGTTCTGCTTCACATCCTAAAAGCTCTAAAAACTGGTTATTACAGGTTATATACAGTAAGACTGCCAATGAAAATTATGTTTAAATGATCTTAATGCTGATATAAAACTATCACATGTCTGCCAAAAAGTGCCAGCAACTTCAAACCCTGATGTCACATATATTGATGTCACACGTATTTGCAGCAACCATGAAAATATATACAGATATTTTGACTCAACCTGCAAACATTACAGGTTAAGCTAATCAATGCCCCATCAAATAGTTCAACTAAGTTAATTAATTAAGCAAGCTGGTATCCCAGTAAAGAGTGAGTGTGTATATGTATGTGTATATGTATATTTAATGACTGAGGACTAAAGTGTTTTTTTTTCCTAGACATCCAACAAGTATCAGAGAACAGAAGAGATTATTCATATTTTTTATTATTCATATTATAATTTTTTTATCATTTGCAAATATTATTCTTTTCAATTGTGTTTTTCTGAGCACACATACTCATACTATGTAGATAAATAGCTATTTTCTTTGACAGCTTAAGACTTTTGTACAGTACTGTATATTATAAAACTAATTAAACAAGCCAGTCGAATACTTCACACATATATACTGCAGTGCTCTGTGCGGTGCATCATCACAAATGGCCTTATTTTCCAGACTTGCGGTTCCATAAACAAGATCAACACGACCACTTTTCCTTGCAATTCATCATCAGTTCCGAAAACGAGCCCCTGCTATTGTGCTGTCTTGCATGATGACTTTGTTAAACGCCGCTTTGTACTGCAATCAGCTCACTCCTCACATTTGACCTTCACGCACAGCTAATGGGGTTTATTTCGTATTTAAATTACCGTGCAATTTCAGCATTGCAAACAAAAAAATATTATGCGCAAGAAGATATATTTCCTTCAAAACAATTAGCTTTCTTTTATAAATTTTAAACACAAACAAAAAGGCCCAAAAGGTGGAAGAGCTTACATGAAGTCCACATGCCTTCTGTCCTCTTAAACTTCTGAATGCCACACATATTAACAGCATATATTAAAGTTAGAGAAAGGAACGACACAGTATCTTGTGTTAAACTGTGATTTCAGAGGCTAAAAAATAAAAAATAAATAATAAAAAATAAAAAATCAATATTGAATTTGCAGGGCATCATTTCCCATAAAGCAATGCTGTTGCCTGCTCTGACAGTAATGATGCAGTAATGAATAACATAATGGCATTTCTACAAATTGAATGGCCCTTGAAAGAAGAGTGATAAGGCACTAGCTGTATTAGAGGCGTGTTTAGATGAGGCAAAAGAAAAATTAGCATGAGGAACCTAATACTGTCAGGCCCACAGGAAGATAATGAACAGGATTAAATTGAAAGCTTGCTTCCTTCTCTGTCCACAGTGTATGACTATCTGGGTGATTGCAGACAAATGAGTAAATCTTTACCTGAGTGCTCCGTCGTTTGCGTGTGGAGCGGGAATAGGTGCATAGCAGCCTTTCGCGCAGAAATACAGAACGACACATTTGATCAGAGAATTTCTCTCTTACAAGAGACAGGAACAACAGGGAAAGTCTTTCACATTCTGAATTAATGAGATCAATGCTGTACAACTCCTCTGGTATAGTTTGTCTGTAATATATCTCCAGAAATGAAAGAGATTTGTGGTAATTCAGATTTCAGATCAGATAGTCTGAAGGAATCTTGACAGTCTGTAGGGAACTGGAGAGGATAATCCGACAATGTCAGCGATTTCAGTTAGGAACATTCCGGTCTTCATTCCCAGTCATCAGTGCCTACCTCTTATGAATAAAAATTAGCAAGCATATGGTAGTATTATTTTTTCACAAATTACTCATTTCTACTAACTGTAATAGTGCAATTAAACTTGCAAACCAAACCATTGGACATTTTAAGTTATTTATACAAGGTCTTTCTCCAGCCAGACTTTATAGTAATGCTAGTAGTGTTCTGAAATTTACAATGTATAAAAAAACACGTGAATAAATAGTTGTTGGTTTACAGTGGAAGTAAATAGGTAAAATGAATGAAGCATAGATGAAGGAATTACAGGTTGGTTATACTACGATTTTAAGATGAACAGCTCACTACCATGCAACCAGCCAACAACTGCACATCATTAGTATAAATGACATTTAAACCAACATTAGTTCTTTTTTACCCATTTGTCCATTTGATGAAAATAGCTTAGTTTATACACTCACCTAAAGGATTATTAGGAACACCATACTAATACGGTGTTTGACCCCCTTTCGCCTTCAGAACTGCCTTAATTCTACGTGGC